GAGAGAGAGAGAGAGAGAGAGAGAGAGAGAGAGAGAGAGAGAGAGAGAGACTGTGTATTAATTGTGTGACACTGGAATTAAGTATTTCAATAGTGGAAGCCCCATCCTGGATATGAGTAGCACCAATAAATTGGCTTGTAGCCTGGATGGAATATAATGGAACAGAAAAAAAGGCAGCTTGCTGTTGCTGCTTGCGGCTGCTTGTTGATGCTGCGTCCTTCCTTTCAAGAACTCCTCTGCCATGGCCCTCTGCCATTTCATCTTGCCTTGGAACCAACGGACTGTGGACTGCAGCCTGTTCTTTAATTTGTGAATGTTGAGCATTTTTTCACAGAAATGATAAAAGTAACTAAGAAGAATTGGCAGATTCCTATTCAAACAAGAAAAACAAAGAACTAAAGGAAGAAAACATAAAAATCTTTGAACAATCCAATACTGGGAAAAAACCAAGGCACCAATAGAAAATTACCTAGTAACAAATGTTTATTACCTGAAGGATTCATCCCTGAATTCTGAAAGAATTTAAGTGAAGATACAATGACAGTAATTCTCAAACATTTTAGTGAAATTGAGAAAAAAGTGAATATTTCAAAACTCATTCCTGGAAGCTAGAGTTACCCTGATTCGAAACCAGATAAAAACACAAATATAAAATAAAGCTGCAGACCAATTTCTTCAATGAACATAAATACTAAAATATTGGTAAAGATAGTGCTGTAAATCATTTATAAAAGACATACATTACGAACAAGTAAATTTCATCCTGGGGATCGAAAAATAGTTCAGCATATGCAAATCAATTAATGTCATACATGACATAAACAGAAACAAACAGAAAGAACAGCATGATCATTTCACTGGATGCAGAAAAAACCAATGACAAAACCCAACATTCCTTAACGATAAAAATCCTGAAATTATAGGTTTAGAAGAAACTTATCTCAGTCTACTAAAATTTATTCATAACATACTGCCAACATTGTTTTAAATGAGGAAAAGCTGAAAACTTTCTCTATAAATCTGAGAAAAGTTAGGAAATCTGTATATAAAAAGTTTGCAAATATGGAACAAACCAAGAGGTGGAGGGAGTAGGGAGGAAGGGGAAGAGTAGGTGATGTCAAAAAAATCAAGAATGTACATCCACCAATCTCCTATGACATATGCAGTCATTATATTCTGCAAATATGTACTAATAAAAATTAATAAAAAACTGAAGATCAGGTCTAGTTACCACCATTTACTTGCAAGGTATCATTTTAGTCTTTTTTTATGGATAAAGTATATATTCTCATCTAATGAAAGGCAACTGAGTTGATTACATATTATTGTTATTGTGAATAACACTCAGTAAGAAGATTCACTCAGGGATTTTTTTGGTATAATATTTTCACTTCCTTGGGATATACACCTAGAAGTGAAATTGCTAGATAATGTGATTGACCTATTTTTAGTTTTTGAATAATTTTAGTGATTATTTGAATAATTTACATTCTCCCAAATCTTGTTAGAATATTACTTTTTCTCCATATCCTGCCACCAATTGCCACTTTCAAAAAGTTTTCATTCTAAGTTATATAACATATTTCTTTATTGTTTGACTTCCATTTATCTCATGGACATTTTTCATCAACCGAACTTAAAAAAATCTTATGTTTTCTTTCTCAATCTTAGAAACCTCCGAAATTTGCGGATCTGCTTGGTGACCATGGGAAATCAATCAACCCTCTGTGGGAATTGATCAAATGGTGCTTTGGTGTATCCATATACACTATCCCTTCCATTGGTATGTAGATCAAATTCTTTCCCAGGCTGATTTGATGTGTTTGGGGAGAAATATGTATTATACCAAAAATAACCTAAAGAGAGCCACTGTCAGTGTTCCATGAAATCTACAACTATAAATAAATGAATACCATAGTATGTTGATCAATAACTACGTGAAAATCTCTGTTATTTGTAATGTATCTATAATGTTAACCATTTTATAGGACTAAAGACCATAATTTAGCAAGGTTATATCACTCTCAAGTTAAGAAGCACTTTTCAAGTGTTGGGAATTGCATACTAAAAATTCTATTACTTTTCCTATGTGTTATATCTCAATATGAAAATGTAAAATTTTGGATACATATTTGATGTTTTGAATTTTAAAATAGACCCACTCTAGAAAATATTCTGAATTATCCTACCAAAATGTCAATTATTGGTAATGTACAGTGAGTTCAGTTTAGCACGCCAAAACTTAGTGTAATTAATGTACACTTATTACAGAGTTGATGCTTGCTTTGACTGTAAAATTTGTCCATTGAGCACAGGAGTATCCCATGTAAGACATTTGAAATCATTGCATGTCATCCACTTAAATATTCAAGGGAGTGTGTCAGAGAGCATAGGTATTATTTTTTATATTAAATTGAAGCTAATAGAAGTTTGGTTACTTACTGCACAGCATTGCTTTTGCTACTCTGGGTGTCTTCTCATTCCAGATGAATTTAAGGCATGTTTTCTCTGCATCTGTGAGGTATGCTAATGGTAGTTTAAAGGGAATTGCATTGAATCTGTACAATTTTAGTGGTATGGCCATTTTCACAATGTAGGTTCTTCCTATCCATGAGCAAGGAATATTTTTCCGTTTATTGAAATCCTCT